ACAGGTGGCCATCCAACCTCTGTTTGAAAATCTCCAGTGAAGGAGAGTCCATCACCTTCTGAAGGAGTCTGGATGTCATGGACTGGTTGGAGAAATGGTGAGAGAAACCATCTGGGGAACACCCAAGGCAAGAAGGCTCAAGGCCCAGGGGTTGGTGGTGGGTCAACAATGAGTGGTCAGAGGGAGAAGAGGGAGAAGACTGAGAAGAGGAGGTGTTGGAAACTGGAGAGATGATGGGGCTTAGTGAGGTGGGAGAGTCTGTGGCAGAGAGCAGTCCAGAATCAGAGGGGGAAGCTGAAGCTGAAGAGGCACATGAAGGAGGCCAAGAGGCAGAGAAGAGTCGGGCTGGTGAAGAGGCACAGGTCTCTCCCTCTCCTGCTGCAACAAGCTTTCTTCCTCACTTGTCTCCCAGAACGAAGAGAGGCATGAAGAGGGTGGAGAAGTTAGCTTCCCATAAGCACAGTCTCCGATTTCTTGGGGGGGGGGACTTTGAAGACTTAGGCAGCTGTGGGGAGATGGGAACCTTCAGCCTCAGCAACTGCTTTGTGGTGGCAAGACCTACAAGGGAGGAGTTGTTATGCTAATTAGGCATGACACTCCTGTGCAGATCCTGTCTTTGCTCCAACTTGCATGTTATGATTTGTTGCTGGCTCACCCCCTGTCACCGTTCCACTATCCAACGGCTCTTACCATCAGAAAGTTCTTCCTAACGCTAAGTCAATTAATGATCAAGTATCATTTGAATCTGTGTCCCATGTTCTCTCTGGCCCCCTCCCCTGGTTATTCTCCATCAGCCAATGAGAGAGAAAATTACACAGCAGTAATGTCAGTGATGTATGGAAGTGAGAGCTGGACCATAAAGTAGGCTGATCGCCAAAGAATTGACGCTTTAGAATTCTGGTGCTGGAGGAGACTCTTGAGAGTCCCATGGACTGCAAGAAGATCAAACCTATCCATTCTTTAGGAAATCAGCCCTGAGTGCTCCCTGGAAGGACAGATCAGATCCTGAAGCTGAGACTCCAAGACTTTGGCCACCTCATGAGAAGAGAAGACTCCCTGGAAAAGACCCTGATGCTGGGAAAGATGGAGGGCACAAGGAGAAGGGGACGACAGAGGACGAGATGGTTGGACAGTGTTCTTGAAGCTACCAGCATGAGTTTGACCAAACTGCGGGAGGCAGTGGAAGACAGGAGTGCCTAGCGTGCTCTGGTCCATGGGGTCACGAAGAGTCGGACATGACTAAACGACTAAACAACAACAGCAATGTCAGTTAAATCCTCATGGCTGATGTGTCTGGGTTTGTGCTTATCTTGCATTTGAGGTGGTGGACTCTCCTCCTTTGGGGGTTTTGAAACAGAGGTTGGATGGCCATTGTCAGGCATTCTCCAGCTGTTATTTTTGCACTGCAGGGGGTTAGACTAGATGCCCCTTGATGTTCCTTACAATTCTATAAAATTATCAGTGTTGTACTAGCTTCTGCAGCAACTGCCGCTCTGTCACATAGAGTAGTTCTAACCAACCTGCTGTCATGGACTTGCACGGAATGATCCAAATCCCAGGAGCATCTCCTCCCCAGCGCTGGTGTAGTCCTCTCAACACAGCTTTGCCGTTCCCATTATCAGAGATCCACAAGACAAGGGTTGTTTTGGATGATAAATGGGAAGCTTAAGGGAAATTATAACTGGGCTTCTAATTTCCACCCAGAGTCACAAAATCAATAGCAACTCCTTGCTTCATTAAATAATTACATCTGGTGATTTTCCACTGAGCATCTCCTGCAGGTGGACAGAAACTCGCTTTGGCTTACTCGATTCCTTGCTGCAAAGCATTTTGCCATGAAACTCATCTGACACCCCACCCCCACCCCCTGCCCGGGAGTGGAAAGGAGAGCTTGCAAATTTGCAGGTGGTTTGCAAAAGGTGGTTTTTTTTTAATCCTGCTTTGGTTTAACCACACACCAGAGCAAGTCTGCCCCCTAGCGGTATTAAGAAAAATGGAGACTGCTGACCTTTACAGACTCACGGTATTTATTATTAATTCGGTTTCTTGCCTGAATTGTGACAAATGTTTGTATCATTCTGTCCTCCCGGCGTGGTTAGTTTAAATTGAGAATGGCTTTTCACGCATGTGTGCACATTGCTTGATAAGGATGATACTTAATCATTACATTGTATAAGTGCATTGAGAGAAGGACGAGCAAAATTCCTCTCACCTGTTCTGTGCGGTCTGCTCTGTCCTGCATTCTACGCTGCCCGTTTTCTGCTTTAAGTTGGAGAATCTTCAAAATTGATTTCAGATTGGGCAAAGGTGTAGTGTGCCACAACTGTTTGATTCCTCCCCACTTTAAAAAAACCAAATCCTCAGCAGCTTCACACCAGGATTGCTGTAAACTGATTAAATCCTAGGCTGGATTCTAAACACATAAAAAAGTGTTACAGGAAAACGTGTTCTGAAGATCATAGTGGAAAATCACACTGGCGAAGGATCAAACTCGACAGCACCACCTGGTTTCACAAGTTTATAACGCAGTTAAAGGTAAAGGGACCCCTCACCATTAGGTCCAGTCGTGGCCGACTCTGGGGTTGCGGTGCTCATCTCGGTTTATTGGCCAAGGGAGCCGGTGTACAGCTTCCAGGTCATGTGGCCAGCATGACTAAGCCGCTTCTGGCGAACCAGAGCAGCGCACGGAAACGCCGTTTACCTTCCCGCTGGAGTGGTACCTATTTATCTACTTGCACTTCGTGCTTTCAAACTGCTAGGTTGGCAGGAGCTGGGACTGAGCAACGGGAGCTCACCCCGCCACAGGGATTCGAACCTCCGACCTTCTGATCAGCAAGCCCTAGGCTCTGTGGTTTAACCCACAGCGCCACCTGCGTCCCATATAACACAGTTAGAATGATATAATTGCCTGAATGTAGCTGAGTTCCTAATCCCCAAAAGGAATCTGGATGCTCAAAGAATAAGGTTCTTTCTGCACTGTGATTTAATTGATGCTCTTAAGCAACTTTAAGCACTGATAACAGTGCCGGATTTACGTATAAGATAAACAAGCTATAGCTTAGGGCCCCACTCTCTTGGGCCCCCCCAAAAAAAATCTAAAGGAAAAAAAACCTGGATGTACAATTCCAAAACATAAGATAAAAAACAAATAAAATAAAACCTACATACAGCAACAGTGTTTTGTGTTGTGTAGGCTCCTATGATGTAAGTCATGGGTCCCGCCTGCTAGCCTGCTCCCTAAAATATCACTGGCTTGCTTATTTCTATATATAAGGTGGGATGTGGGTGGCGCTGTGGGTTAAACCCCTGTGCTGCTTGGGCTTGTCGATCGAAAGGTTGGCGGTTCAAATCCCCACGATGGAGTGAGCTCCTGCTACTTGGTCCCTGCTCCTGCCAACCTAGCAGTTCAAAAGCACGTCAAAGTGCAAGTAGATAAATAGGTACCGCTCCGGCAGGAAGGTAAACGGCATTTCTGTGCACTGCTCTGGTTTCACCAGAAGTGGCTTAGTCATGCTGGCCACATGACCTGGAAAAAATGTCTGCAGAAGTGGACAAATGCCAGCTCCCTCGGCCTGTAAAGCGAGATGAGCGCCACAATCCCAGAGTCGTTGGCAACTGGACTTAATTGTCAGAGGTCCCTCAAGAATGTATAACTTGCTGCTGAAATGGAATACTCAAGATGAAACGGTAAAATCGGCTATGATTAAATGGGCACAGGACGTTGGACATAACATTATGTTTGCTGACTGGGAACAGTTATGGACCACAGGTATGAAATTTACGGCATGTAATGCCTTAAGAGAGAATATTATGAAAATGATATACAGGTGGTACATAACCCCAGTCAAGCTTGCGAAAATCTATCACTTGCCCGATAACAAATGTTGGAAATGTAAAGAAACTGAAGGTACATTTTTTCACCTTTGGTGGACGTGCCCAAAGATCAAGGCTTTCTGGGACATGATATATAATGAATTAAAAAAGGTATTTAAGTATACCTTCCCTAAGAAACCAGAGGCCTTTCTCCTGGGCATAGTTGGCCAAATGGTGTTAAAAAAGGATAGAACTTTCTTTATGTATGCAACAACAGCAGCAAGAATACTCATCGCAAAGTATTGGAAGACACAAGAACTTCCCACGCTGGAGGAATGGCAGATGAAACTTATGGACTATATGGAATTGGCGGAAATGACTGGTAGAATCCGTGACCAGGGAGAAGAGTCGATGGAGGAAGACTGGAAGAAATTCAAAGACTACCTTCAGAAACACTGTAAAATTAAGGAATGTTAGAGTGAGGTTGGATTGAAAACAAGAGGTTTCCAGCTGTACAGGTTAAAGTTAATGATAGATTAAGATTAAAGATCAAGATTAAAGATGTTTAAAGAAATTTGATATTAAAAGGGAAAATTTTAATGGCATATGATATTAAGACCAAGGATTAGGTTTTAAGAAGTTGAAGTTATATATTTTAATATCTAATTAAATTAAAGATTGGGACTAAAAAAGTGGAAAAGAAATTGCTGGACAAATAATTTGGATTGGAATACAAAAGAGGGAGGTATGAGGAAGTCCAGAAAATAAGCAACTAAAAATCGGAAATGAAAACAGAGATATTGTTTTTTTAAATTGTTATGTTTCTTGTATTTTTATTGTTGAATTTTGCTTTAGTTTTTTCTGTTTTTCGTGTTTTTGTTAGATGTATTGTGTATGTTTTTCTTTTATTTCTTTGTTGTTTAAAACTTTAATAAAAATTACTTTTAAAAAAAAATTAATTGTCAGAGGTCCCTTTACCTTTATATATAGGGTGCCTACATTCTGCATGGACTGGTTGCACAGCAACATGTGCAAATGGCTTTAGATACCTTGTTGTTGTTGTTTAGTTGTTTAGTCTTTTGAGGCAATCATTTTTCCCAATGCCACACATAATTTTATAAACTTCTGCCGTGTTCCCTCTTACCTTTCTAGAAACTAAAATGTCCCAAGCGCTGCAACACACACACACACACACACACACACACACACACATATATATATATATATATATATATATATATATATATATATGGGATATGGGAGTTACTCTGGTCAGAGGGGAAAGTGGGTGGAGCAATTGATGCAAATTGATGTAAATCTTACCTTCGGGAGGAAAACGGAACACCCATCTCCCTGTCTTGGCCCTGAAAGGCAAAGAATTTGGAAATATGTTTGCCAGCAGCAGCTGGAACAAGAGCTTCCAAAATACGGAAGAGCTACTGTACACATCCCCACACATACAGGTACGGAACTACCTTCAGAGAGTAAGTGTTAAAAAATATTGGCAGTTGGACATTTCATAGCTTCCACCGGAGGAATAATTTAAACACAAAAAGGGCAAAAGAGAGAGGGAGGGAGGGGGAGAAAGAAATGGTTACTGGACTGGATGGAAAGTGCTAATATTACGAGCAGAGATTTATTACTTTGTGACGGCCCTTTTGACAACCTAGTATGTTCATTCAAGTGCTGCAGTCTCTAATTTACCCCCACGGCTCCCCACCTCTTCATTCCCCCCTCCTTCCCATCCGCCTCTCCCTTCCCCTCCCCTCCCCAAGTCTGTCATGGGTATAATTAATGAACTTACTTTCCTGCCATCCTTTTTCATGCTTGGTACTCCCGCAGACAGGAAAGTTAGAACCTGGAAACTGAAAAACTGTCTTCCGAGCGAGCCAAGATCTAAACAAGGCTTGGGAGTGGGTAGCAAAGAACGGAGGGAGGGAAGATCCCTAGCTGGCTGAGCGCCAAAGACAGGACATAAAATTTAGGACGGTGTGTGTGAGAGTGTGTGTATATGTACATGCACACGTACACATAAACACACACCATCCAATCTGGTACCAAATGAAGCACCCCAGATTAGACCTAGGCAGACCCAGGACTGACCCAGCCCAGATCTGGGCTCCAAAGCAATTTGGGACCTGGTCAATTGTCGGTATATAATACCTGTTCTCAGAGAATGGCGCTGCTTGCCGATTTATTACTGGGTCAAGTTCAAGGTGCTACCGGTATACCTGAAGGAGCCTCGGCCCAGTATATCTGAAGGAGCCTCTCCACCCCCATCGTTCTGCCCGGACACTGAGGTCCAGAGCCAAGGGCCTTCTGGCAGTTCCCTCACTGCAAAGTTACAGGGAACCAGGCAGAGGGCCTTCTCGGTGGTGGTGCCCATCCAGTGGAACGCCCTCCCATCAGATGTCAACAACAACAACAACAACAATTAATACCCCGCCCATCTGGCTGGGTTTCTCTGGGCGGCTTCCAACAAAAGATTAAAAACACATTAAAATATGTCAAGGAAATAAACAACTATCTGACATTTAGAAGACATCTGAAGTCAGCCCTGTTTAGGGAAGTTTTTAATGTTTGATGTTTTATTGTCTTTTTAATATTCTGTTGGGAGCCGGCCAGAGTGGCTGGGGAAACCCAGCCAGATGGGCAGGGTATAAATTATTATTATTATTATTATTATTATTATTAATAATTAAAACTTGTAACAACTTGGGACCAGTTTACCTACAGGTTCACTTTACCCACTCAACTGATTTGATGGGCAGAACTGGCACTGTTGCAGATGTCACCTAACACCCATTTTGCACTAGTAAGATCTTGATCTTTGACTGTGGCAGCCCCTGCACGTCGGAACTCCCTGCCTATTGATTTCAGCCAGGTGTCTTCACTGTACTCTTTTCAGCTCCTGCTAAAATGATTTTTGTTTAGACCTGCCTACCCAGGTATTTAGCACATTAATGCGAGTTTTAATCTGTTTCGAGTCTATTGATTTTTTTAATGTTTAAAACCTATTGATCACTTTTATCAATAATTTTATAGGTTTGTGTCTAGTTTTGCAAACCACTTTGACGTTCCTTACAATCAAGTGGTGCGTAAATTTTATCAAATAAAAAAAATCATTTCAGGAGGGAATGGATAGAGGGAAGCGGCAGCAGGAATATTTAAGTGAAACAATGCTATAAAGTACGTTTGAATATATGAGAGAAAGTGTTTGAGGGGAAATATTTCTCTCAACCCCCAGTTACTATAAGCAGAGTGAATAATTCACCATAGCTTTCCCCGGTGCTGTGGCTGCAAATCAAGAAATGTGTCTAATTTTTTCCCTCCGATATGAATTTGACTGGGAACTTTCCGGAAGACGAACATGACAAGTATTTAGGATTTAGCTTTGGCACATTGTGGATAATTGCTAACGGGCTCTGCAAAGTCATTTCTGATTTGAAACGGTGGCCTGGATCTTCAGAGAGGCAGGGGAAATAACTGCGCCGCGTAATGTCAGAGAGCTTTGTGGATCATTTGTTCATTCAAATACTTTGATGGATTGAGAGAGCTGGTTTTAGCAGGATAAATATCGGCTCCTACAAACAATGGAGGAGACGTGAAAGGGATGGAATCAAATGGAAGAGCCTTTCTTTTTTTATTATGATTTTTATTTATTTTCCATTTAATATTATACAATCACATCATCTTTATCCGATATACTGCCTTGGCTCTTAGAGCCTGTCAACTTCCTTTCCTCCCGCCTCACGGCTTTCAAAATGAACCTTTATATCATTGCAATTTATATTTTCCAATTCTAGAATATCTCAAAAATTTAAATAGATATAGAAAGATAGAAAGCTTCTCATTACAAGTCTTCAGAGAACCCTGCTAGTAATGTTAATTGCTTACAATGATCTTTCAGATATTGTATGAATTTGCACCAGTCCTTTTTGAATACTTGATCATGCTTGTTTCGGATTTTTCCTGTCAGCTTCACCAGTTCTGCAAAGTCCATCATCTTCATCTGCCACTCTTCTTTCGTTGGTACTTCTTGTTGTTTCCATTTTTGGGCTAAAATAGTTCTCGCCGCAGTTGTTGCGTACATAAACAGTCTTATATGGCCACTTCTGCCCTGCAGAGGAGATGGAGCCCAGCCCCCACATGATTGGGGGAATCCCCGGTGGCATCACCCCCTGGCCAACCAATTGGCTGGCTCTGAGGGCGTGGCCTGCCCCATTTAAGGCAGGCGCAGCTGGGGATCTCCCTCTTTGCCGCCCGCCAGTGTTCCTGCTTTTTCCACCCTCCCGCCCTATAAGGTTTTCATTCCTTGACCTTGCTCTGGACCTCAGTTGGTCGCCATTGAGGGGCCTGGTAGGAATTTTTCCACTTGGCAAATTGGCACCAGCCCCTTGGTTTTCGCCTACCTCGTAGCAAATCGTCACAACTTCCTTGGTATTGGAGGTTAGGCATTGGTATTGTTCTGTAGTTGGAAGAGGGGAGGAAGCGCCATCCCCTGCCCCACATATTGAGGGGTAGTCCAATAAAGTGTGCCGATGTCTGTTGGCATTTGTCGCTGTGATGTTCAGGCAGAAGAAAGCTTTTGAAGCTCCTGAACGAACGACCAGGAGTGAGGGAACATGCCAGTTGGGCATGTGTCTCTGCCAGGGTCCTACTCGAGTGTAGGCTGAACTCGACAGGGTCATCTAGTCCAACCCCCTCAATGCAGGAATCTCAGCTAAAGCATCCATAACAGATGGCCACCCAACCTCTGCTTAAAAGCCTCCAAGGAAGGGAAATCCACCACCTTCTGAGGGAGACCGTTCCACTGTCGAACAACTCTGACTGTCAGAAAGTTTCCCCCTATGTTTAGTCGGAATCTCCTTTCTTGTAACTTGAAGCCATGGGTTCAAGTCCTACCCTCCAGAGCAGGAGAAAACAAGCATGCTTCCTTTTCAACGTGACAGCCCTTCAGATATTTGAAGATGGATCGATTTATTGCACTTCAGATATCTGAAGATGGATCGATTTATTGCACTTTGGAGACAGAGCACTTTAATCCAATTTAATTGTGCAAACCTAAATTTCTGGCAAATGCGTGGACCCTCTTGAAAAATACTGACAATCTGGAGGTAATTCCCCCATGGATATCCATTAAGACCAGGCCAAAAGTACTTTCTCTAATACTTTTTCTCAGGACCCCAGGGTTTCAAGGCTGGGAAGCAAGTCCTATTGAAAAAGTTTCAAAAACATTTTTTTTATTAATTTAGAACATAGATTTTCCATTTTGAGTAGTGATGGCTAGTGGTCAGTCTTTTCCAATCGTGTGAAAACTAAAAGTCATGAATATTCAGCTCCGCTGCCCTATGAACTTGGAAACAAAATATTTATCCGGTTTGGGAGTATGGAGAGAGTGGTGATTGCAGAAGTTCTACGATCTCCTTCTCTGTGCTTGAGAACTCAGAGGTTGGTTCAGCATTTGAGAAGTCTGTCAGGTCAAACATTACCGCCATCAGGTGGCGATTGCTGGAGGTGCATCCCTATGTAGGGATGGAGTGGGGGAATTTGATTTTGTTTGCATTGAAAGGCAAATTTGCTCTTTCTGAAACAATGCATGAACTCAAACACAGCCATCGCTTAGAAGTTCAAATATATAAAAGGATGTCACATAGAGGAGGGAGAAAGGTTGTTTTCTGCTGCTCCAGAGAAGCGGACACGGAGCAATGGATCCAAACTACAAGAAAGAAGATTCCACCTAAACATTAGGAAGAACTTCCTGACAGTAAGAGCTGTTTGACAGTGGAATTTGCTGCCAAGGAGTGTGGTGGAGTCTCCTTCTTTGGAGGTCTTTAAGCAGAGGCTTGACAACCATATGTCAGGAGTGCTCTGATGGTGTTTCCTGCTTGGCAGGGGGTTGGACTCGATGGCCCTTGTGGTCTCTTCCAACTCTAGGATTCTATGATTCTAAGTTTGCAGTTATCTGAATTTTGCAATGGATTTCTCCAGTCAAGATACCATAGGTGTCCCAGAATGCACACACTGGGGTAAAGGAGGCATAGACCCCTAAAAAAATGCATTATATTAGGGAACTTTGTAGAAATGTGTATATTAGGCAAAATTGCATGTGTAAATGTGTAGAAGGTGTTCTCACTAATTTTTGTTGTTAAAATTTTATTCATTTTCAATAACAATCTTCCAATTAATAACAAACTAAATCAAATCAGTTCAAATTACAATAATAGCAATACACCAATTATATATTCCAGTTATAAACAAAAC